GAGATTTTAGCTCTGAGCTCTGACTTCTCGGCTCTCTCTTTTACATTGTTTCTGTGTTTCTTATTTAATAAGACGGTTGGTTACATCAACAAATATCTTTGCATGTCCCATCACTAGGTTCATGGATGAAGCCTCTGAAATAAGACAGAACAAGGGAAAAGCATATGTATCTACTTACTATGATTCTTTCTCTTGACCTTTGTAGGGAAGCAAAGACAAGATGATGGGAGAATTTGTGGCTATTTCTGTGCCTGGTGTGTTGGAGATGTGGATAGTCATGAACTGGGTTTGAAAAAAAAAAAAACCTTCTGGGGGCTGGTGCGATGGCTCAGTGGATAAGAGCATTGGCTGCTCTTCCAGAGGACTAAGAATCAACTCCCAATGCCCACATGGTGGCTCATAACCAGCTGTAACTCCAGTTCTAGGAGATCTAATGCCCTCTTGTGGTATCTGCAGGCATGGTATGCATATGCTGCACACACATAAAGACAAAACACCCCGTAAATAAAAATAAATAACATCTTAAAACAATTAAAAAAGGGTGATCTAAGGTGATGAACAGGTGAGCTTAGCATGGCCTGTTTGCCTAATGTCTTCTCTCTGTCTTCAGACAGCAGGATGCCTTTCCTCTAGGGGTCCACAGGGTCCTTGAGTGAGCTCCATGTTCAGGGGGATGGACAAGGGAAGGTGAGGATGACCTTCTTCCTGCTTACAGGTTTTCTCAAGTGCCTGATGACACATTTTGGGGTGGTGCATCCTGAACCTCATCAGGTTTATGTATATCTTTCATGCCTGGCCCAACTGAAGAAATGTAGATTCTCCCATCTGTTCGGTTTTAATTGTTTTTGTTGTGGATATAGGAAGGAAACCTGGGTCTGTAAAATTGTGTGTTTGTAGGCAAACTTACATGCTTGCTTTCTTTTTGGTTTTATGGACTGACATTCACAAAGTCCTCATCAACCAGCTTTTCAGCTCTGAATAGATTACAATGTGTTTATGGGTCTGAATCCTTCCAAGACAGTAGCTAATTGGTCTCACCACACAACAGCAGGGGAGTCTCATTATCCTGATTTAACAAAGGAAGGCACTTCCTGCAGAGAAGTTAAGGGACTAGTTCCAGGCCAGAGCACTGAATCTAATCACCACTGTTATCTTCATTGCCCTTAATTTTTAACATACTAGGAGGGCACGCTAGCAATCCATGCCGGTCCTCCAGGAGCCCAGGGATTAATAGACCTTCTGTGTAACTATCTCTCAGAAACCTAAGTAGTGGAATAAATACTTATGGAACTAAAAAAAAATTGTGTGTTTGGAAGAACTAGTCTTTCACGGCCCTTTGAGATAATTGTTGTTGTTGTTTTCTCCTCAAAAAATGAGTTTTATTTCTCAATCTTAGCATGGTTGCCATTTTGGGCCAGAGCCTTCTTTGCTCTGGGGATGTCCTGTGGTTGCTGGGTGTTTAGCATCACCCCTGGTTCCTACCTAGCAGATGCTATAGTAACCCCCCTGCTGCTGGCAATTTTCACAACTCATCTTTTAATATTGCTGATCCCATCCCTCATTATTGGAAACTGAAACCCCCAACTTATGTGCTGGTTTCTTATAAATGATATCTGAAATCATATTAGCAGACTTTACATGGTCTATCTTATAGGCTAAATATTGTACCCCTAAAAGTCATATGAAACTCAACTTACTGAACTCAGTGGTGCCAGTATACAAAGACACCAGCAATTTTAGGGGCTGACCCTCTATAGAGGTCTCCCAATTCTTTGCTTCCTCATTCCTTGTTGCATCACCGACAGAATAAATCATATCCACCTCTGTGTTTTTTTTGTGTTTTCTCCCCCTGCATACTGCTCTAGATTAGCAAAAAATAGAGTTGTTTTCTTTTCTTTTCTTTTCCTTTTTTTGAGACAGGGTTTCTCTGTATAGCTTTGGAGCCTTTCCTGGAATTCACTCTGTAGCCTGGGCTGGCCTCAAACTCACAGAGATCTGCCTGCCTCTGCCTCCTAAGCCACCACTGCCCAGCTCAGAGTTATTTAATTTTCTTCTGAGGCCAGCAGTTTGCTTATCCATGAGGTCAAGAACTATGTCATGTTCATACCTTGGGCATTTCTGATGCTCAATATATATTTATTAAATGATTGAATGATTGACAGAGGGAAGTTTGAGTGATGAGATAACTATTTCTCTATTATGAAAACTATTTTAGGCAGGGAGTACATGGATGTGTGCACACCAAGACTGGCGTAGAGATGGCTGTCACCATACAGATGCACCTGTCTTGGGAGGACATCTTTGTTTAATCCATTTCAATCTCCCACCTTACTCTAGTAGATAGCCATCAGGACTTGCTGGAGTGAGGTGAAGCACAAGTCCACAGTGTAAGCAGTAAGAGAGACATTTCGCTCAGTTTGTCAGAAAAGGCAGAACCTGGTTTTATAGGAGCCTAGGCAAGGGAGGATGTCACTTGGTCTCAGTGAAAGATTCTTCTAGAATCTTCAGCTTCACCTATTTGAGTCTTGAACTGCACTGGAATAACTTGGTATTGGGTTCGAAGGTTCTGGGAAGACCACTGGGTTTGTTGTGTAGACATTTGGAATGACCACATCCACCTGAAAAACAAAGGCATACAGCAGATGCACACTTCACCAGTGCTAGAGCAGTCCTCTGGAGGTTCATTGCTGGAAGCCTACACTCCAGCACTGAGTGGCTGAGGTGGTGGGGCCGGTAAGAGGTGAGGTCTGAGGGGTGGCGATCAGGCTGTGGGTACCACTTTCATGAATGGGTTTATTCTTGACTCAGGGAGAGGGCTAGTTTTCACCAGAGGATGTTGTGATAAAGCAAGGCCACCACACATGCTTAAATCTTTCTCAACTAGGCCACTCTTCTTTTCCTTCTCTGCTGTGTTATAACCAGGCAGAGAGTACTCAGAAGTACTCTAGGGCAATGCTGTTTAGATACTCCGGCCACTGGAATTGAGAGGCAAGTAAACCTCTTTATTTTACAAATTACCCAGCCTAGCGATAACAACAGAGAGTAGACTCAGGTGCCTCAGTAATAAAGGCAAGTTAAAGACAAACATTGGGACTTGTAGATATTCTTCCACTTCTTCCTCTTGAGCAGGAACAAAATTCACAGAGACCCTGTGAGTTTTCTATCATCTCAGGGTATAGTTCCACCCACAAAGGAGCCCCAGGACTCACATTGTTGGACTGACAGCAGGCCACTTGGCAGCCAAAGTGGGAAGACACACTTGCGATGGAGAGCTCCAAGATGCAGAAGATGAGCAGTACACCAGAAAGAGCCATGCCTATTGTCTGCAATCAGAAGAAATCTGAGGGCATCAGGGCTGGGCTATGAGTTTGACAAGATTCTGCAATGGAGCATCTGGGTGGCCTTGGCAAAGTCTCCCTCCCCTAGCCTTATAGGGACCAATGTCTCCTAGGTCTTTGTGAGGCTAAACTGTGGGTAGAAAATGGTTATTTTATCATCCAATGTAGCAGCCTTTAGGGGAAGAAGGGTTATTGGTTAAGGAAATGCCAAAAAAGATTGCATCGGGGTAATTTCTTAATAAAATGAGTTGAGTCAAGAATACACATGACCTTGTGTGCCAAAGGCATCAGGCTGGATGCCATGCCAAAGAGAGCTTTGAGGAAGCCAGGGTGTCAGGGGGTGGGGGGCAGGAACAGGGGCAGGGGCACAGACTGAGATGAGAGATGCGGTGGCTAGGACCCCCTCTACAGTGGGAAACAATGTGGGAAACATGGCTGGATTCTGGATGCATTCCCAAAGAACCACCTGGATTCCTTAAGAAACCAGCTGCGAGGTGTGAGAGAGGGGTCAATGGCTCCTTCATGGTTTTGTCTCCAGCAACTGAAGGATGGAGCTACTTTATGAGATGGGAAAAACAAAAGCGTGCTTTTGTGCTGATAGAAAACCTCTAAGAAAACGGAGGACATAGTGTAGAAGAGAGGAGGGGGGAGAGGGAGCGGGGAGGACTTGGTCTGCTGGGTGAGGCTGTGGTCCATTGGCAGCTTGACAGAACGTGCCCGAATCTGCCCATTTAGTTCGGTCACACAGTCCCTGTGGCTGCGGAGTACTAGATTAGTGCTGAGGCCCAAACTGAGATGTGTTATTAGCGTAAAACAACCTGGACTTCAAAGGGTCACTACGCAAAAAGAAAATAGCCCGACCCTTACTGCACCTTAACTAAATGCCCCTCATTTTTCCCACATCCAAGTCCCACATTAGAAGAATCCTTCCTCCTCCTTGGCAATGCAACCCCCCCCCCCCCCCCAGCTCCTTTTGTGGCAGGCCTGTGCTGTGGACCACAGCCTCCTCCCTTCCTCGACCTATAAGACTGGACCTCTACTCTGCTGTGTGGGCCTGAACTATCCCCAAAGTCTTTACCATGCTGCCGCCTGTCTGTCTGTCTGTCTGTCTGTCTGCCAGTGCAATAACCACTCTTTCTGGACTCCCTCATCTACTGAGACCTGGAGCTGAGTCCCCCTGGAGTGGCTGGAGTAAACAAAGAACCCGCCTCAGTGCCTGTCTCTGTAGTCCCTCCTCCAGCCATAACTTTGTCTTTCAGTAGTGTATGCTACCGAAAAATTTAATAAAAATAGTCGCAGTTTTCAGTGTGGCAAAGAATTACATATGCAGCCCACATTCTATTTCTGTTAGACGGTGCTGGTTGCTAGTGCAGGCGGGCAGGTGACAGTTGTCAGAGCTGATTCTGCTCTTGTCTGGCCATGCTTGTTCATGTGCTGTTTTCTGTGGATGCTAAAGGCCTGCTGTATTGTGACAGGACTTGTATGTCCTGCAAAGCCTAAAAGCCCATCTGGCTCTGCCGAAAACGTTTGTTAGGGTTTGGCAATCCTAGGTTCCCCTTATGACGCTGTCACAGGGCCCAATCTTGTTAACATCCTGATATTTGCAAGAAAATGGATGCAACTGTAAGGCATTATGATAAGAGAAATAAGCAGGTTCAGAAAGATGAATGCTTCATGTTTTCTCTCATATGTGGAATCTAGATTTTAATGTGTGTGTGTGTGTGTGTGTGTGTGTGTGTGTGTGTGTGTGTTTTGTAGGCCATAACACTAGAAGTGGGGGATCCTGAGAAGGGAGGAAAACATCATAAGGGAGGTGGGGGATGGAGAGATGTTTCAGTGGTTAACATTACTGGCTGCTTTTGCTGAGGACTTGGGTTCAGTTCCTATCATCCACATGGTGGCTCATAACTATCTGTAACTTCAGCTCCAGGGCATCCAAGGCCCTCTTTTGACCTCAGTGGGTACCAGGCATACATGTGGTACACAGACATACATGTAGGCAAAACATTTGTACACATAGAATAAAATAAATAAGTCTTTAAACAATTAAAAAAAGAGAAAAGCAGGCAGAGCTTGGACTAACTGAGGGGAAGAGAGTGAACCAGCTGGAGGTGGAGGGGGGCGGAAAGGGACAGTAGGGAAGGGAACAACTGAGGACAAAGGAGGATGACAGGTATGCATAATGATGAAACCCAGCACTTTGAATAGAAAACTAAAAAACTAAACTAAACAGAAAGGAGTTTTCAAAGGAGGAAAAAAATGTTTGTCGAACCCTGGTCTACACAGCAGGCAGGAAGGCTGGAACTGTGGAGGGCTACTAAAGTTTTGTGCATCATCACGTTGAGTTTTTCCAGTGCTACAAGGCAGGCACTGTTTTACAAAGGCAGTGAAAGCTGAGGAAAGGCTACAGCGGAGGGCTTTAAACCCTGTCCTGACACTAAAAGCATTTCCTTTTCTTCCAGTGCTCAGCGGGAAGTCTTGGTTTGCCAGGCTCTTTCTGGCATGGTCTGAACATAGCTCAGTGGTTGAGGACACTCACCGTGCTGCTGTAGTAGTAGTAAGGGTAGTCATTGGGGTAAACATATGTTCCCGAGATACTCATATCTGTGATGAGGAGTATGATGCCCACTGCTGAACAGATGGCGCTGAAGATGTTCAAGCCCACGCTGCCATTCAACTGGAGGAGACACACAGGGTCAAGGTGGGAGAGGACGTTGAGTATAGCTGAGGCGTGCAGATTCAGCCAGCAACCCTCCCCCATTTGTACCGTGCTGAATTAGACCGCACATCCTCTTCACCATGGTAATCATTTATCAAAGTCATAGTTTAGTGGCCAGAAGCACTTTATGAGTCTGGACAATGTACAGAAAGGTATGTCTAGATATGTTAAACTTTCCTTTCTGAATGTTTTCCAATACAGCTCATCTGACTGTAGGATCCTGATCACTAGGAGACAGTTACGCTGGGTAACCTGCTCATCAAGGAAGCAGAGCTAGTACACTGGTCCATTGCTAGGGACAAAGCACAAAAGCTCTTTCCACATGGCTCTTCAGAGTTCCGTTTCTAGATTTCTTAGTGAAGCAGGCGCTAGGACCTTTACTGGCCCCTGCAGGAATGGCTGGAAACCTGCTCTATGTGCTATGGGCATACTCTGTGTAGTGTGTCCTGAGACAATGGGAGCTTTGTGTCTCCTCCTGTGAAGGCCTCCTATGCAAGCTAGTCCTCTCTCCCTCCATCTTTCTTCCCATCCTGACATTGTCCTACCCCCCACACCCGTGTGTGTGTGTGTGTGTGTGTGTGTGTGTGTGTGTGTGTGTGTGTGTGTAGTCTGTGCCTGTATACAAGGGATAGTGTGCAGGCGAGTGCCCTAGGTCTGTCTTGGTGGTGCAAGACTAAGGGAAGGATTGCTTGTCAGTCTTATTCCTCACTGCAACACTATAGGTCCCGAGCTGGGACAGACAGCTTCAGAATGTGACTTACCAGGCAAGAAGAATTGGGCTGATTCTCTGCCGCCACGGAAAGAGATCCTGAAATGATAAACTTGTACACAAGATTGGGAACTTACCATGAGTTAGGCATCATATTCCTTAGGAATCTGATTCTGAGAACAGATAGTCTCTCACATACAGACTTACTTATGGGGACCCCAGCTCTACAACGGTAGAAAACGTGTGTGTGCTGACTGGCTAAGGGACAGTGATAGGATAATCAGGACTTTAGGATTCACCCGAACACGTTTTAAAGTCTAGTTTGAAACTTACATGATCTTTGGTGAGTTAATAACCCAAGTCTTTGTTGCCTCATCTGAAAAAATGTGGACATTCATATCTTTTTAGGTATCATTGTTGTAACTTATGCCTCATATGTACTGTGTCTTGTTCATAGTACTCAATTGATGTTACCCCATCTCCTGCTGTTTGTTTACACATCTTCACCATCTGTGACTTTCCAGGGTCTATATCAGGATTCATGGAGGGAAGAGGAAAAGGGTGCTGACTTCTCTGGGTGTTCAGGTAGGAGTTCAGCATTAGTCTTTCCTGTTGCATGCCTGAATGGGCTCTGTTCAGTCATGTAGATGATAATGAATGCGAGTCTCAGATGCTGAGCATCACACAAAGGGAGAATTTCTTGCCAATATTGGTGCTCTGCAGGCAATGTGGCTGAGGGATCACTTGCCATTGTTTGCCCAGTGTGATAACAGTGGTGGTCTGAGAAGGAGCCGCTAAGATTTCACACACTCTGCTATCTGCTGGGTTCTACTTGAGGTGCTTTAAGACATGGCTCTGTTGAGAGAACATCCACATCTTACCATTCATTGATTTGAAGTACACAATCCCAGTATTTTTAGTTTATTTATAGAGTTGTTCAATCTAAGTCGAGAACATTCTCATCATCCCATACCCAGTAGCAATCTTGTCCATATCTTCCTTTCTCCATCTAACACTACTGTTATTTCCTTTTAAAAGATGGGCAAAATCTAGGTGTAGGAGAGATAGCATTTTCCTCAGCAGTGTAGCCCCTAGTGAGTTGTCATGCTCCAGGAAACACCCTGTCACACATGCTCATACAAGCAACCCTAATTAAACTCAGTGGGTCAAAAGAAAAAAAAAACAAACACCACGAAAGTAGGAGGTGGACTAGTTGGGGAAAAACAGGGGTCAGCAGGGGTGGGGAGAGGGGTGAAAGAGGGCCGTGGGGGTGAATGTAATCACAGTATATTGAACATATGTGTACAATTTTAAAAGTGAATAAAGCAGATTTGAAAATACAGGCAGAATGAGGCTTATGGACTTCAAACAATTCACTCAAAATCATCGAGCAAGTAGCAAAGCTTGAGATCAAAGTCAGGTAGCTTGACTTCAGACTCAATGTCTTAGCCTTCATCCTGTGTTCCCACTTGGGGCAGAGGCATAGTTACCTAAAATGAAAAAATATTTGGGTTGCTTCCCTTCCCAGGAAAATGTTCTATTTTTTTTTCTGTCATTGGAGAAACAAGTCTCAATTTCACAGCCTTTCCCTTATAGAAATGTGTTAGGAAGCAAGGGCGGAGAGTTGGATTTTCATGTTCTTGTTAGTACACTGGAGAGGTCCCTTTGCTCTGGAGGAGGGCATTGGGAATGGACGGGGACTAGGAAGACAGAGCTGGAGTGAGAGAGTGACAAGGAACAACGACAAACAATGGCAGCAACAAAACACGAGAAGACAAAGGGAGGACAGTTGTGACCTTGAAAGACCCTAGCCCTTCAGGCTTACACCCCCAAGCCTCAGGAAAAGAGAAACTTCAAGCACCAGGAAATGAGAAACTAAAAATCTAGTTCCAAGGGCAACCTGACTCAGCCATTGTTCAATCTCCCCTGCAACCATATAACAATATAAAGAGATTTCTGTTAAGAGATGTGCTCAACTGTGACTGGGATAGTTGCAGGTGTTCCAGGAAGGACCACTGTGACCTTTGTGTAAACTCCACTCCCACCCTGATATCCCGCCTTGAGGTTTCAGGAAGAATGTACCTGTTGACGTAACTGTACCCCCTCTGTGATCACTCTGTAACCAGACCATGATCTTGTGAAACGAAATTGTATGGAAATTGTAATCTTATGGCTTTTGTGGGTTTTTCCTTTAAAAGCCCCCATGGGGCTGCAGTAAGATGCGGTTCTTGCTCTTAGGACAAGAGTTTGCCCTTCTGTTACAGAAGCTTCAATAAATCCTCGTGCTTTTGCATCAACTGGACTGGAGTCTGGGTTCTTGGGGCGCCCACTTGAGACCCTAAACTTTGGGGTCCAACAATCTGAGGGCCAGCAGGGCTGTTGGGATGCCAGGGCACTTCCTGGTGTTCCACCAGCACTCAAGGGAAGCTAACAGGACACAGCAAGCCAGTGAGTAGCTGCGACACTATGAGATGTTTCAATACAGGTCTATCTATAAGCCCAGGGATCTGTAGAGGGTTGGGAGAGAGAAGAGGATTGAGGTCCATGCCCAGGTCAGTTCAGAGTCCGAAGAAACTGCAGCCTTGAAGGATGAGTCATGAAGAGAACTGAGTCATGAATGTGGGTCAGAGAAAGAGGGAACAGGTTCTCTGAAGGATACATCCTTATGGGGATGGCAGAGTGCCAATCTGTTTTCTTTTTATTGTCTAGGAAAGGTTGGCATTGGTTGACTTCTAAGGTCCTTCTGGAGTTCGGATATTTATGGGAAAACGTATTTGAGTCACAGGTAGGTGAGGGAAAAACAAAAAGGAAAGGAAGTTGGAGAAGAGCTGTGTGTGTGTGTGTGTGTGTGTGTGTGTGTGTGTGTGTGTGTGTGTGTATTGGGGAGGTACCAGGAAAAGAGTCATAGAGTCCAAAGGCAATAAACTGGCATACAGGAAGGATTGTATTTTCGTGGAGTCATAGATCACCTCGAGAATCTAATAAAAGCCACAGACCTTTTCAGAAAAAGAATTCATAGCTATTTTGCTAGATATTCCACTAAAATGGCCTCTGAGTCCATCTATGGACAGTGAATTAGACATCTCCACTGCTGGGCCACAGACTCTACTGACTATTGAACAACAACAACAACAAAGTATTTTGAGCTTAGTCTTCTGGGTGTCTGTTGAACAATGCTTGAAAGCCTAGCTCCAGTATCATTTTCTTTGTGAGTTAAATGCTGCTGTTTCTGGTTGATGATCTACAAGAAATACCTTGGACAAGAGCGAAGGGAGAGAGAGAGAGAGACAGAGAGAGGAGAAAAGAGACAGGAGGTGGACAAGGCCTGCCTTTTATGAGGAAACAGTGAATGCACACAAGGAGTGCTGGCCCTGTTGTATGGTATGACTCTAAAATACAACATTTGGTTCCCTGTCTGGGAAGGCTCTCCTGGCAGTCTGAGACATGCTGGGACCCTGGAACCTGGTCCTCCCGCAACAGCCCTACTTTGCCACCTAATGGATCACTGGGATTCTCCATTCAACACTGATGATTGGTAAGCCTCCAGCTTCTGGCCATTTCCCATGAATGAGGCTTCATTTCTCGAGCACAGTCCTCTCCTTGCCTTTTGGCATTTCTTGAAGTCCTGGTACCAGGTGTCTGTGTCTCAATCGGGCTCTTAGCCCATTGGCCCCTGCTTTTTTTGGATGATGGTCCACTGAGCAGCTGTGCCTCTTTGTTGGTCCTTGGTGACTCTCTGGGATGCTAGAGATTCCAGCCTTTGGACCCTCTCTACCTCACTCATGGAAAATGCTCCTACCTCAATGTCTAGCACTTGATTTAAGGGCTTAACTTATCTATCTGCCTTTCCAGTCAGACCTGGTCCCATACTTCTTAGATACCAATCAAAATGGCCACTTACCAGCACCCTGGTATTTTACAGGACCTTTGCGACTTCTGCCATGGATCCAATAGGTGGAAGGGGGTCCCTTACTTTCAAGCTTTCTTTTATCAAGTCCCTACTCCGACGTAGCCTTTCATTCTTTCACTCTTTGCTCCCCCCCTTCCCTCAAACCTCTTGCACTGACTCTGTTGTGTGTGGCGTGTTTGCTTAGCGGCATACCTTGGCATGGCCGCCAAAGGTACCCACTTCACACTAGGACCCCATCAGCCTGCTCCATCTGCAGGAGATCTACTCTCTTTCACCTGCAACAGATCTGCTTTCTCATTCGCCGACAGCTTTGCCCTCTATTCAGTACCAACAATGGGGTTTCTGGTGGGCTTACCCGCCTCTGACCATTCCCCTGCATGTGAGACTGGCCTCAGTATTTTTTGGACCAGGCAGTTGGGGAACTGAAAGCATTTTTCATTTTCTTTCTTAGGAGTACCTGGCGGTGCCACCATCAACTTAAGTTTGGGTATTTCTTCTTCCTCCTCCATCATTTCTTGGGTACTTTCCTCTGGTGGCCTTCCATCTCCTGAGGAGCCACCCGCCTGGCTCTGCTTCACTTATTTTTTTCTTTGTGCTTCCAGGATTCTTCTGGGGACATTTTTGTCTCTCCATTATCTACAACAGGTTCTGAAAGTTCCATGCCAACAGCTGAATTTGAATCTTCACACAATAATGACTGTTCTTGAGAGGACTCCACAGGTGCTGGTTAAGTAAATTCTTGTGAGCTCTGGGGAGTGGACTTGGATTCACCTCGAACAACATCTTGCCAGGTCCAAGAAGCACCAGATGGTTCCACAGAGTCTGGACCCAAAGTGAAACAGCCAGCCACCCCAGGACATGGCCAGTACCCCAGTTTTCTCAGGTCACCCAAAGATGTTTGACACCTCCCCAGGCCAGCAGGAAGCAGTCTCAAGAACACGGCATCCTCATCCCCACCTCACCTGCGACCCCTTTCTAACCCCTTTTTATAATAAACAAAAGAGAGAAATGTTAGCATTCAGGCATCTGTACTGGCCTGCCCCTAGGGTCCTCACAGGCTATTTCCTCAGCTGCAGCCACTAAAAGCACCTCCTGTGAGCATTCGCCATGTTTCCTTAAAAAAAGCGGGCCTTGCCCACCGCGCATCTCTTTTCTCCTTCCTCTCTCTCTCTTCCTTCGCTCTTGTCCCCAGGCACAAGACTCTGCCCCCTTTTCTGCCACTTCTCTCTTCTCCCCTCAATAAACCTCCCAGTGGGCCCAGTTGTATGGTGTGACTCCTTCCTGCCATTTTAAAAATACAACAGGGGGTCGGGGATTTAGCTTAGTAGTAGAGCACTTGCCTAGCAAGCGCAAGACCCTGGGTTCGATCCTCAGCTCCAAAAAAACAAAAAACCAAACAACAACAACAACAACCCCCCCCCCCCAGATATTACCTAGATCATCTAGGAAGACATTCTCAATGAAGAATTGTGTACATTTATTTGGCCTGTGGTCGTGTCTGGGGAGGATTATCTTAACTGTTAGTTGATGTGGGGAGACGAAAGTCACTGTGGGCAGCACCATTCCTTAGACAGGGGTTTCTGACCATGTAGGAGTTGAGAACATGAGTTGAGCCCAAGCAAGCCTGTAAAGTGAGCATGCATGCATTCGTTTCTCTTTGTTCTTGACTACAGCTGTGATGTGACTAGCTGTCTCAAGTTCCCAACACCTTGACTTCTTTTCAATAAAGGACTGTACCCTGTAGTCTGTAGCTAAAACAATTCTTTTCTCCCCCTATGTTGTTTGCCAGGCTATTTTTATCACAGCAACAGAAATGAAACTGAAACAGGGAGGTATTCGGGGAAGGAAGGGGTCAAGTGGGAGGGGAGCAGGGGAGCAAGAGAGGAGGAGTGTCAGGGAGAAGACAAGTAAGAACAAAGTCTGAGTGAAAGTGCTATAATAAACCCGTTACTTTGTACGCTAATTTAAAACACCCACCGCCACCGCCACCGCCACTGCCAGCGCCACCAGCAGCACCGGCAGCAGCAGCAAAGAGTTGGGACACAAGACGGGCACAAAGGGAAGACACCAGGAGAGGATGGCTAGCTGTAAGGTTAGGAGAGACCGCAGTGGTGACTACCAGCTGACATTCTGGTCTTGGATTTGCGGCCTTCAGAACTGGAAGATGACACACTTCTATAGTTTGGAGCTACCCAGCCTATGGCACTTCGTTATAGTCTATCCCAACTCCTTTTCCAACTAAGACATTTGAGCAAGAACCTCCATGTTCCTGAACAGCTTGGCAACATGGCCCTGAGCATCAGACTGGAGCTACTCACCCAAACGCCTCCCCAGAAGGGGAAGCCTCCGTAGAGGGAAACAGGTATATAGTACCCGGAGAGGTTGGTGATCATGATGGAGCCCATGCCAATGTGCACCAAGCCAATCAGGATCTGGATGGCCTGTCAGGAGAGCCACAAGCTGAAACCTTTGCCTCTGAGTTCTGATCTTGCCTTTCCTTTAACTTCCTTTATATTTTAATACCCATTTGGTTTCCCTGCTCTAAAAAATAATGTGAGAAACAATATAATAAAATTAAAGCTATCTATAATCAAACCCATCCTGGAGAAAGCAAGCATTTACATTTTGTTATAACCTTCTATTATTCTTTTTCAAACATGTATCTTGGTAACATAGAAACAGTGTCTCTACACTTTATTAACTTAATATTTTATCATGAGCATATCTTTGGGTCATTACATTTTCTTTGTATTTGTGTGTGTGAGTTTGTACATGTTTATATGTGTATGTGCATGCATGTATGTGTGTGTGTGTCTTGCAGACATGTTGTAAAAAGCATATATATTGTTTCCTTAAGTTTATACTAATGGTACATTAATAACATTTCTCGGAGTAAGACCCAATTATTGCACAAAGAACTTCCTTGTTCCCTTCATAGTTCCATAACATTCTGTTTGTTATTAGTACAATACAGTGACTTGACCAATGTTAAATGGATGGATAGTATACTGGTTAGTTTTAACTGTCAACTTGACACAACATTGAGTCACCTGGGAAGACAGTATTGATGAGGAATTATCTAGATTAAGCTAGACTATGGAAATTTATATGGGGGATTGCCTCCATTGCTCATTCATGTAGGAAAATCCTGTCCATTGTGGGCAGCACTATTCCCTAGACAGGGGTCCTGAACTGTATAGGCTAGGAGAAAGCTATATGAGAGCTAGAAGGTAGCATAGATGTATTAGTTTCCCTCTGCTCTTGTTGTGGATGTGATGTAACCTGATTCCTATTTGACTTCCCTGGTAACCTGAAAGTGTAAGCCAAACAAACTTCTTCTTCCCATCTGTTACTTTTCATCAGAGTATTTTACCACAGCAACAGAAACAAAAATAGAATAGATAGTTCGGTTGTATCCATCCTTCTGTCTCTATAAGCCACACTGCAACAAATAAACCTAGAGGTAACACATTTCTTGTGCATCTTGGCTTATTTGGAGGCTAAAGTCTCAGAAATGCACCACTGGAGGCTTTTTAATATACAAATTGCCTCTTTTTAGATTTCCCTAAGCAAGATTAGAGCATGAGCTGGGTTTGGAACATGGGCTCTGGGTCAGAACCAATGCTTGTCACTCATGGATTGCACAATGAAGTGGGCTCCCTTGTGCTATTTAGGTCAGACTTTCAGCCATTGCTGCTTGTCTGGCCTGCTTGCCTTCTTTCTGTTTTGGGCAAAGACTTGATTTCAGCAACCTTGGGCTTCATTCCACCTTTGGGAAACTTTGTCCTTGTTGGACACTCTTACTTCCTAAGCTATAGCAACTAAATGCATAGAGGCAAAAGGATCTACATTCAAGATCACTGCTTTTTGGCTGTTTTTTTTTTTTTTAATTCTTTTTTCCTAAATGCCTCAAATCAGAAACTACAAGGTTGTATACTGAGGCTCCTTGTGATAAAGAGATTTACAACAGACCTGGGTTTTGCTAAGTCAGCCCTACCTGATTTATTTGAAGTTTCTTTTCTTTCTTTTTGTTTGTATTTATGTATCTATGTATGCATGTATGTATATATGTGTGTGCACACATGTGTATTTATATATGTGTGTATGTTTATGCATGAGTGTGAGTGTGTGGTTTCTTGGGCACTGCACATCATTTGTGTGAGTTATGTGCGTGTGTGAGGACGTGAATGATGAGGCTGACATCTACCTTGGATATCCTTCTCCAGGAGCCATTTACATTTTTTCTTTGAGACAGGGTCTCTCACTAGCCTGGAATTCACCAAGTAGGCTGGGCTGGCTGGCCAGAGAGCTGCAGGGATCTGCTGGTCTTTACCTTCCTGGTTCTGGGATCACAGTGTGCATCCCCACAGCCAGCTTATGTAAGGTGGGTTCTAGGGACGGCACTCAGCCTGCAAGCACTTCCCTAAGCACTTTACTAACTGGGCTATCCCATTCTGCTGCCTCTTATTTGGAATTTCTGTTCATCTATCTCAAACCCCTGCTTTCCTCTATAGTACGGCCTTGGGCTCACAAAGTGAACTTTCACTTACCCCCAGGACTTTGCCATTTTTCAAGACTTTCTGCGCTGTCACCAAACCAGGTGGATTCCCAGGAATTACGTGGATTTGAGGCTGGTTGCCTGGATACAGAGGCACCTGAGTCACAGTTCCTGGGACCACGGGGTAACCGTTGGGGGGTGCCACCACATATACAGAGTTGACCGGAGGGCCTGGTGGAGTCATTGGATTCATGCTGATGAAAAAAAAACATGTGCAACAGAATCACTCATCACCTACATACTTGTGTTTTACAGTTTTAAAAAGACTTCAAGAGGCAGGGGAGGCAGCTCCATCGGTAGCTCCTTGCCGCACCAGCATGAGGATGTGAGTTTGGATCTTTGGCACCGTTATAACCTTGAGAAGACTTAGCAGGTGAAGGTACTTGCTGCCTCATGACTTGAGTTTGGGCCCTGGGACTCACATGGTGGAAAGAGAGAACTGGTTCCCCAAAGTTGTCCTCTGATCTCCAAGCACATTTAGTGGCACATGTCTGGCCATACACAATAAGTAAATATAATGTAATAACAATAATTAATAATAAAAACAACTTTGTTGTTATTGTCTTTATTGCCAGGAGAGACAGGGAATCTCTAGGGCTAGCTGATAGCCAGTCTAAAAGATAAGATGAACAGTGAGTGAAGAAAACACCCTACATAGACCAGTGGCCTCCATACAGATGTGCACGTATGTGCTTGTGCACCTGCGTACATGCACGCACATAGGACATTAAACACTTTAAAATAACTGGGAATGAAGCCAGGTGTGGTGGTGTACACCTTTAATTCCAGCACTCAGTAGGCAGAGGCAGGCAGATCTCTGTAAATTCAAGGCTGGCCTGGTCTATAGAGTTAATTCCAGGACAACCAGGGCTACACAGAGAAACCCTGTCTCGAAAAAACAAAACAAAACAAAACAAAACAAAACAAAACAACAAAACCCAACCAACTAAGCAAGCAAGCAACCAACCAAATAAAAAAACCCAACTGAGAATGACTTTTTCTTGAGCAATTCAACCCCATGTATTCACTAATCCCATTTTAGAGACAATGTTAAACGTTCTTTACAGGACTTGTTGGGCATGCCAGGCAGCCAATGCTTTACAAGGCATCTCTTTCAAACTTAACCCCAGTCCCACAGATAAATAAAGTAAGGCCCAGAGAGGTTAGGTGATCCCAGAAGACAGGTTGTGCCTTTTCCCTCTTTGCATGTCTCCTGGTGTTTCAATCTTGATTTGCATAGATTGGAAATCTATCCTGAAGAGCCACAGTGGAAGGACTCTTGGGGAACATTGAGTTCAAGTCTCTTAGACTTTGGAAAAGAAACCAAGAGTGGGGCTTCTCCAATGTCATGTACATATTAGAAAAATGGAGGTCCTTGTGCTCAAGAAAAGTTCACTGTCAGTGTAGCGCGTGTGTGAGTGTGCATGCGTGCACGTGTGTGTATGTGTGTTTTGTCCTGCTCAATTTTCTACGGCCACTAAAGAAGTTACGTTAATTTCTTTATCTATCATTTTGTTTGTGTGTGTGTGTGTGTGTGTGTGTATGTGTGTGTTTGTGTGTGTGTATGTGTGTGTGTATGTGTGTGTGTGTGTGTGTGTGTGTGTGTGTGTGTGTGTGTTTTCCATGTCACACATTTGGAGGTAGAGGATAACTGGTGGGAGTTGATGTTCTTCTACCAAGATCTGGTTCCCAGATCTCACTCTCATGTTGTCAGTCTCGGTGGCAATAACTCTTGCCCACTGAGTTCGTATGCCTTTAACATTTTCTTTCCTTCTTCCACTTTACTTTTGGAGCAGACACAATAAACCGAGTACAATACATCCTTCCAACACCTTTCATCCACTTATATTGCCCATGTCTCACTTGACACAAACCCCTTATCTCTGTCCCTCAGTGAGCCGTACAAAATACTTGATCATGGACACTCACCTTGCTGTGCCTGTTGCCAAGTAAGTCTCTCTTGCTCCTGTTCCCAACTCTCTGCTGTGGAAAGCTTGCTTCCCTAGAGAATGGCTGTGCCCTGTACAGTTGGACGATTCATTTAGAATGATCCAAAGTCCACTCCACTTCTTTCCTGGGTGGGGGCTGGCTCAGCAGATGTTCAGAGCTCCCACACCCACATTTGCTTCCTGCTTTAGTCACGGAATCAATTAAATACAGTTCCATTTGTCAAGGGTTTCATGATGCCTGAATGGATAAATGAGGTTGTGTTGGGTGCTCTAGGAGACAAAAGAATGACCTGGGCATTCAGGACTTGATGTACTGGGCTGAGATAGAGGACAGGATGAAATCAATTTCACAACCAAGAGATAGGTGATCCCAGGAGAACACAGAGAGAGATGATTGATGGGCATTGGAGTGCTTAGCTATTTGAACTGAAAGGAGAAAAGTTGGAACCAATGGATAAAATGAAACTTACACTCGACCCCTATATATATATTTAAATATATATATATTTAAAGTTTTATTTATTTTATGTTAATGAGTGTTTTGCCTTTATGTATGCTTGTCTACTATGTGTATGCAGTTACTACAGAGGCCAGAAGAGGGGCGCTGGATCCCCTGGAGCTGTTACAGATGGTTGTGAACCACCATGCAGGTGCTGAGAATTCCTGTTGGCATATAAGAGACACTCAGAATCTCACTGACTGAGCACATAGAGACAAGGGGATGACTGGAACTTTGTAAGTTGGCCAGGTGAAAGAACATTATAGACAGAGGCTATGGAAAGGGACAAAGCCTAGGAGAGAAGAAAGCACAAGACAAGCTTTGGGCAGGCTCACACAAGGCACATTGAAAGTAAAAGGATGAGAACCCTGATGCAGCCAAACCTTGTGAATGCCCATTTCTACCAGATTTGCCCCTTAGCTTTTTTTTTAATTAAAATTTTTTATTCATTTTGCATACCACCCACAGATCCTCTTCTCATCCCTCCTCCTGCTTCCCCTCCACCTAACCCCCCTTCTCGCCTAAACCCCTTCCGCACTCACCCCCCATCCCCTTCTCTAAAGGGTAAGTCCTCCCATGGGGGAACAGCAAAGCCTGGTGCGTTTGGTTGAGGCAGGGCCAAGCCCCTCCTCCTTACATCAAGAGTGAGCAAGGTGTCTGGGCATAGGTAATGGGCTCCAGAAAGCCGGCTCATGCACCAGGGATAGATCCTGATCACACTGCCAGGGGCCCCTCACACAGACCCAGCTATGCAACTGTCTCCCGTATGCAGGGGTTCTAGTCCAGTCCCATGCAGGTTCCACAGCTGTCGGTCTAAAGTTTGTGGGTTCCTATGAGCTTGGTTCAGTTGTAGGTAGCTCTTCATTAGATCTTATCTGTGGGATGTTTTCTCCAAATTTGGCAGTTATTTATTGTGTGTGCATGTGGTGTGTGTGTGTGTGTGTGTGTGTGTGTGTGTGTCTGTCTGTCTGTCTGTAGGCCAATGTGTGTCTGTCTGTCTGTAGGTCAGAGGTTTATGTTGGATGTTTTTCTCTATTGCTCTCTGCCTTATTTTTTCAAACTTTTCTTTAGCATGTATTAGTTATATATGGTGATAGGTTTCATGCTGACATTTTATATGTTTATATACTATATTTGGGTTATAGTCACCTCCTCATTATTTTCATATTCTCCTCCTGCTGATCCTCTTCCTCATACCAACAATTCCTCCTTCTATTTTCATGTTTCTCTCTCTTCATTTTTAGGGAACAATATTTTTAATAAAGATCGCTTATAGAAACCTGTTGAGAATTTACTTACAGGTACATGGACGTCTGCTGGGATGAAGGAAATATCTCTCCTTCCCTCAGCAACCATTAACTGCTCACAGATCTCCAGGAGTGGTGTGACTTCATAAGCCCCTGCTCATTTGCTTTGTCTTTAGAGATGGAGTCGTACACTGAATCTGAAGCTCGCTGCTTCTCCTAGACTGGCAGGTAAGGGATCCAGCCTTGGAGTTACAGAAGCATGCTTCCTCATCTGGCTTTTCACGTAGGGGCTGGGGAGCTGAACTCAGGTCCTCAGGCTTCCTCAGCAGCCATTTTGATTCATCACCCTGGCATGGTGATTGGATTTTGACTTATTAAAAAATTACATTTAAAGTATATCAATTATCTTATTACTTAGGATTTTGAGTCACAGTTAGAAGACCTTTTAAACCCATGATCAAATGGAAATTCACTTTTGTTTTCTTCTAGTACTTCTGTGGTTTTACTTCTTTTTTTAAATTGCAGTACAGGAAATGGAACCCGGGGCCTCACACAGGTTAGGGGAAGGGCTCTACCACTTGAGCTACATGTTACTCCAGTTTTCCTTTTACATTTTGATTTCCTTGTATGACTTCATTCTTGCAAATAGCATAAGCTATAAAGCTGATTTTATGCCTTCCCAAAAGGCTATTTGGTTATCTTAGAACATTCTATCAGTCAGTCCATTTTTTACTGCAGTGAACGAAAATGCCATCTTAGTAACAAGCTCAATTTCTGTTTGAGAGCTTTTTCTTACATACCACTGGCCTGCTTGTCTATGCAGATGCTACTTCAATGGTATTTTCATTTATAGAGGTTCTATACAATGTCTGGTAGGATCAGTCTTTCTTGAAATTCAATATATTTTCTTCATTTTTTCCTTGCTCTTCTTGTGAATTTTCTTTTTAAAGAGGAGATTTCCTGTAATTTGTCTAGCTCCATAAAATAACTTGACAGCTTCTACCTCTAAGAAAGATGGATGACACAAACCACTTGTACTGAGGGAAGTAATAAGAAATGTATGAACTGGGCCATGTAAATGACAAAGCCTTAGGTCATGTGGGTCTTATGGGACCAGACTTAGCCAGCTATTATATAGGTTGGGATTTTCTCCCTTTTATTGACTTCCTGGAAATGGTGCCAACTGTCTTGAAGGGACTAGAAACCTTGAGGAGAGGGAAGCCTCAGGAGGGGTGGAGATATCCAAACCAATTCCAGGAAATGCTGTTTGTTTGGATTTGAGATGAGCAGGAAGCATGGAGAGATAGAAAGACTGATGACCAACCAAGTCTTCAACACGTGAACCTGTAGAGACAACTCACACCCAAACTGTAACCTCCCTGAAGGGTGCTCAGATGTCTGCCAATGCAATGCTAAACCTCTTCAGGGATAGTAAGTTTGCTCACTATGCATGTGAAAGAGCCTTTGGAGAAGCCGAAAAACTGAGAAGCAAACTCCAAACACAAAACTTACATATGTAGTTCTCACAATAGTTTTTGTTGTTATAAGATATTAATAATGCAATTGAATGACAAATATGTATATTTATTCATTGTCACGTTATATTTTATATTTTGAAATATGGAGGCATATTTTAAATACTCTTAAGGCATTTATTTATTAAAACGTTCTCTGCCAGAATTTCACATTAGCTTAAAATTCATTTCAGTCTTTACATTTCTCTGAGGTTGTCACCTCAATGTGTTACAAAACCCCCTTCTCCATCAGTCAGTGTGACCAGCATCCACATGAAGGGCCCCATGGTTGGTCTCTCTGTTCCCCTGGCGAACCAACTAGATGTAAATACTGCTCTGCTACAAGGCAACAGCTTCTAACTCAAACTCACCAGAAAGAGACTTCTGCAAAGTGCACTTTGAAGAAGAGGTACTTTTTGCTTATGAAAAGAAACCAGTGAATCCTCTAAGAATAATAAAAGGGACTATTTAACAGTTAAGCACATGATTTGGAGTGAAGAATTCAGATGTTGCTCTGCGGGTCCAGGCTGCTTAATACTCTTCTTGTTCCTCCTGTGGGCCCCCTTCATCAGGTATCACAAAGCCTTCATCTGCGGCATAAAGAATATCTACGAGCCGGGCGTTGGTGGCACACGCCTTTAATCCCAGCACTCGGGAGGCAGAGCCAGGCGGATCTCTGTGAGTTCGAGGCCGCCTGGGCTACCAAGTGAGCTCCAGGAAAGGCACAAAACTACACAGAGAAACCCTGTCTCGAAAAACCAAAAAAAAAAAAAAAAAAAAATATCTACAATCCTCTGCAGTACAGGATCATTTCCCCCTTCATTCTCTTGGCAAATCAATTCAATGTTTCTTAGCTTTCCAAAGTATAAGTCTCTCTCTTTCTCCAAGTCTTCAACAGTAAGCTTCAATACTTTGACCTGCTGCATCAATTCAGCCACTTCGTCATCTCCATTGCCCACACCAGGATTCTTTCGCACCATCCCTGGACCAGCCTTAGGAGCTACAGTAGTTCTCTATGTTGCAATGGGTCTCTGGGGAGCTGCACTGCCAGAGCTGAGAGGTCTCTTTGGTTTACTCCGAGCTGGAGCAACAAGAGAAGGAGCCACTGCAGTTTCTTGACCTTGTCTGGCAGCTACAGGGTCATATTCTTTTCCATCATAATTTGCATCAAAAAACTTCTTGAACCACTGAACAAATTCAAAATTGTCCTGAAAGTTTCCTTTTACTAATTTATCCACAGGAATTATTTTGTCAACACCCTTCCTCTTGAAACCTGCTTGGAGTGTTTTGAAGTTCTGGATGTACTCATGTTCTAGCTTTAGCTTGGAATTTCACTTTCTTCAAAGCAATGGAGCCAGGGAAGAGCATGTCCATAAACTGACAGTATGCAGACTCTGAACACAACTGTTCTATCTTTGTCAGATTCAACTGCAGAGATTCATTGATCCAAGCCAGCATGTCATTTTGACTTTGAGTATCATTGGTGACTGATGTCAAGTACACATTCACTGCCATCTTCAGCTCTAGGGGGGAACCCGTGTCCACTGACTGCCAGCCCAACTCTGCTGTCTTCCTTTGTGTCTCCTGTCCCTTTCATTCCATCCTTCAGGTGGTCGTGTTCCTGTTGAAGCCCTGTTGGCCAGGGGCAACTGGCGTCCAACGTGGGGCTCAACCCCCACATGGGCGCTTGACCCCCACAAGAAGGACCTGGAATTCTCCCAGAGGAAAGACCAAGCGCTTGGTGAAGTTGTTGGATCCCCCTGAAAACGCCTGCCTCAGAGAGGAGACCCAGAGGAGAGCGCTGACAACGCAGGTAAGAAGTGACGAGCCAGGGGCAACTTCATCACAAGATTTACTCATTTCTGGCCTAAAAAAGGCTCTCAAGACATGGGGAACTAGGGTTAAGAGAAAAGACTTAAAAGCCTTCTTTGATTACATAACAGACACATGTCCTTGGTTCCCCCAGGAGGGAACTATAGATGAAAAGAGATGGTTACACGTTGGGAACTGTCTAAATGACTATTATAAAGTTTTTAATCCGGTAAAGGTCCCTATCACCACCTTCTCCTATAGGAACTTTTTTTTTTTTTGTTTTTTTTTGTTTTTTGTTTTTTGAGACAGGGTTTCTCTGTGTAGCTTTGCTCCTTTCCTGGAACTCACTTGGTAGACCAGGCTGGCCTTGAACTCACAGAGATCCGCCTGCCTCTGCCTCCCGAGTGCTGGGATTAAAGGCGTGTGCCACCACCGCCTGGCCTATTGGAACCTTATTAATGATATACTCAAGGTCCGTAAACGTTCTCCTGACAGACAGGAAGTCATTGACACAGGTGAAATGTCCTGAGAGAGGCCTCCCGTCTGCCTTCAGTCTGACCCTCTCCAACTTTATCCCTCCCTCAAAAACCTTAATTCCGACCTTCTTCTGGACCCTGCTGAGGAGACTTCCCTGGAGGAGGAGGCAGCCCGCTATCACAATCCGATTGGCCCCCCTCTCAAAACCCCCCTTTAAACCAGAAATCTCTGGGCCCATTTCAACCACCCCAAAAAACTCCAACGGCCCCTCCTAATATAATGCCGCCTCCTTATGTCTCCCCGCCTTCCTGCTTTTGCGGACCCATCCTCGAGTTTACACCCCCTCCTATTCCTTATCTTGGTTGGCTATGCCGTGCCCTTCAAACCTGCCAAGAACATCTTGAGCTTTTAAAAGAATTAAAAAATCTAGACAAAGAACTTAAGGAGCTTGCCCTCGAGGCAGTTGCTCCCACTCATAATAAAATCCCCACTACTCCCGGTCCTCAAAAACCTGTTAAGCCTAAACCAAAATCACAATCCGTCCCGGCCTTCCCCGTTAACTGGAGACAGGTCTCCAGAGACTCATCTGAGGCAACTGCCCACGTCTGCTCCTCTGAGGACCTCAATGTCCTAGAGCAGGGCGAGGAGGAGGAGGAGGGGACCCACCATCAGAGGACCCCCAGCCAGGACAGACTTATCAAAAACTAAATTTTTGGCTTATAGAAAAATTAAAGTCCACTTTTGCTCAATATGGCCCCATGGCTCCTTTCACTTTGGCGCTAGTAAAAAAATCCAAGTGAATACTGGCTGACACCTAACGATTGGTACTTTCTCACCCGTGTGGTGCTTTCAGGGGGTGACTTTGTCCTTTGGAAAACAGAATTTGCAGAAAATTGTTGAGAAGTTGCTCTAAAAAACACTGAACAGTCCTCCTCAAAAATCTGGATGCTTAAAAAGCTCCTTGGCAGCCCCCCCCCATGACAAAAAACGAGGTACAGGCAGGATCCCCCCCCCCCCTCCTGGCCCAGATTCAAAATCCAGGAGTCCGAGCCTGGAAGCACCTCCCGCAAAAGGGGTCAGCCACCACTTCCTTGGCAAAAGCCTGCCAGGGGCCTGATGAGCTTTTTAGCGATTTTTGTCTCTCGCTTAAATGCTGCTGCTGAGAGATTGCTTGGACCGGGCGAAAACTAAAGTACCTTCGTAAAACATCTGGCTTTTGAAAATGCAAACCCTGCCTGCCAGGACGTTCTCCACCCTCACAGGAACAGGGCAGATTTGTCAGATTTGCTCAGGCGTAGGTGCTGCCCACACCATGGGGCTAGCAATGGGCGCCACCCTGAGAGCCTCACAACAGTCTGGAGCCTGAACCTGTTATTCATGTAAACAACTGGGACACTTTTTTTTTTTTTTTTTTTTTTGGTTTTTCGAGACAGAGTTTCTCTGTGTAGCTTTGCGCCTTTCCTGGAACTCACTTGGTAGCCCAGGCTGACCTCGAACTCACAGAGATCCGCCTGCTTCTGCCTCCCGAGTGCTGAGATTAAAGGCGTGCGCCACCACCACCGCCCGGCCTGGGACACTTTGCTAGGGAATGCCCTCTTAAAAATAACGGCCTGCACCTCCAGTCCAACCTGCCCAAGATATAGCCACTGTGCAGCCTCCCCGCTTTCCACCCCGATGCAACAAGGGCCATCGCTGGGCCAGGGAGTGCAGATCAAAAACTAATTCTCTTGGTCAACCCCTCCCACCACGGATGCCGGATGCTGAGGGGCCAGCCCCTGGCCCCATGCCTGTTCTAGCAAACCTTGGGGCCTTGAGGTCAGCTCACCCCCCTGCCTTCCACCTGCCCCAATTCCCCTTGCCCAAGTTCCCTTCTCCTCCCTCCAAAGAGCGACCCCAGGCAGTGCTGGACTGGACCTCTGTGCCGCCTCCGACACAGTATTAGATTCTCTCATGGGGCCTCATGCCATCTCAACCGGGGTCACAGGCCCCTTGCCCCCAGATGTTTGTGCGCTTGTTCTCGGCTGCGCCTCTACAGCCCTTAAAGGAGTCCAGGTAGACCCAGGCATAATAGATAACGACTTTACCGGAGAAATTAAAGTGTTGGCTACTGCCATAAATGGCACGGTTGTAATCCCTCAAGGCACACGCCTGGCACAACTGCCTCTAGATACCTGTGATAATTCCTCAGTCACAGATACCCCTCGAGAATCAGCTAATTTGGGATCCTTGGACGCCTACTGGGTCCAGCCTGTCACTCAGGACCGCCCTACCCTCATACTTACCACAGAAGGAAAAAAGTTCCCGGGAATTCTGGATACGGGGGGGGGGGGATGCCACGGTCGTTTCTCAGATTGGCCATCTACCTGGCCGCTGGTTCCGTCCCTTACAGACATAAAGGGAATAGGCTAATCCAACAATCCCCTGGTAAGTACAAAAATGCTCTCTTGGAAGGACGAAGAGGGCAACCAGGGAACTGTCACGCTGTTCGTGGTCCCAGGCCTGCCCGTTAATCTTTGGGGATGAGATACACTCTCACAAATGCAGGTGATCTTATGGAGCCCAAATCCCACGGTTACACAACAGATGCTGCCTATGGATTATGTCCCTGGCACAGGCCTAGGGAAGGCGGCACAGGGGTGAACCCAACCGATTCAGCCCACTCCCAATAATGATACACATGGACTGGCTGCAGATATATATCTTACATTATATGGATGATCTTCTCCTTGCTGCACCTGACCCCATTTCCCTTGAATGCTGCTTCCTAGAACTCAGTGGGGCCCTCGACAGGTTGGGACTCCAGATCGTCCCAGATAAAGTCCAAACCCAAGACCTCTTCAGCTACCTGGGGCTAGAATCTACTCCATTTGAATCGGGTCCTTGTTCCCCATGTTCAGTTATGCACTTGTTCCCCATGTTCAGTTATGCACTGACCACCTCCATACCTTAAATGATTTCCAACAACTGCTCGGTCATGTTCAATGGCTCAAACCTTACCTTAAACTTCCCACAGACTCCCTTCTTCCCTTTTACAAAATCCTTTGGGGTGACCCTGACCCCACATCTCCCCACACACTTTCCCCCACAGCTAATAAGGCCTTGACTCAGATTGCCACCGCTATTAATCAATAGTCTAATTCCCAGATCTCCTACTCTATGGTCCTATTTTTTTAAATAGTTTTAGCCACACCACATACCCCCACAGGAGTCCTCTGGCAACATTCCACAGAGCCAAAAGTCAAGGGCAGGATATTCCTTTGGGTCCACATGCCTGCTGCCCTCCCAAAAGTCATCTCTGTCTACCCAGAACAGGTGGCCTCACTCATTATGAAAGGGCAACAGACTTCTCGCCAATATTTTGGCAGAGATCCTGATAGTATCCTTACCCCCTATACCAAGGATCAAACCCAGTTTCTATTTCAAACCTTGGACAACTGGGGAATTGCCCTAGCAGGATTTATGGGAACTCTGGATAATCACCTCCCAGATGATCCCATACTTCATTTTGCCTGATTACATTCTTTCATCTTTCCAAAAGCTACAAAAACTAGCCCTATTCCTCCTGCATTCACTGTCTTTACAGACTGCTCTGCCAATGGTGTCATAGCCTTTGTGGCCTGAGGCCACCATACCTCCATCCTAACACCCTTCCGTTCTGCACAACTGGTTGAACTCTCAGCTATTTTAAAGGTTTTTCAGACCTATCCCGATCAACCAATTAACATTTATACAGATAGCACTTACATTGCTTTTTCTGTTCCCCTGTTAGAAACCTCCCCAGCCATAAGACCCACCTCCAATGCCACCCCACTCTTCTCTCAGATCCAGCGGCTTGTCTTGAATCGCCAATATCCCTTTTTTATAGGTCGTATCAGAGCACATAGTGACCTTCCTGGGCCATTAACTGACGGCAATGCACAGGCTGATGCTGCCATCAGGCCGGCCTTCCCTGTTCTACTTGGCTCCGTCCAACAGGCCCAAAATGCTCATAAGATTCACCATCTTAACTCACAGACGCTTCGCCTTCTCTTCAAAATTTCCAGACAACAGGCCCGAGAAATTGTCAAGCAATGCCCCTCCTGTGTCATTTCCCACCCAGTCCCGCACCTGGGGGTCAACCCTCCAGGCCTCCTTCCTAACCAGATCTGGCAGATGGATGTCACTCATTGTCCAGATTTTTGGCAAACAAAAATTTATTCATGTCTCTATAGATACCTTTAGTGGCTTTATTTTTGCCTCTCCCCACACCGGAGAGGC